TATGTCATCTATGTTGTATTCTGAATAAAATATTGAAATTTGAAACTTCCACATAATTGCATTCTGTTTTTATTCACAATTTGTACAGTGTCCCAACTTTTTTGGAATCGGGTTTGTATAAATTATGGTAAAGTAGCTTTACTTGTTGATATTTCTTGTTGGCAGCATTTTAACAGTCTGTGTGCATAATGCACTGTAGATAGACGAAAACAAACAATAAATACTAAAAGGCTAAACTTTGAAAATCTAAAACAAGTGAGTGTCATTTGGCCTTGCATAGCACCTAATTAAAAAAACACCTTAATGAAGAGAGAACTGAAAGTCCAAACATAGCACAACATTTCCTGAAGGCCACAGAAACCCTGACTATCAAGTTTTTAAGTTTATGATTTAATGTAAATTAACTATGTTCACTTAATTAATTATTTACTTATTTATGCATTTTTACAGCAAACAAAAAGTGGTCTATACTTACAGGATCCTCCAAACCCACACTGGATACTTCACTCTACAGGTAGGATAATCTAATTGATTTGCACTGGTTTGCCAACAAATATGATTACGAATAAATCTATAAATATATCACAACACAATTTGTTTCAGGCTAGCTCAGGTGTAGAGGAGAAGTTTTTCAAGACGTTGAAGGATCTTATTCGTAATTACAAGCAAAAGAATCAAGGACTTGCAACACACTTATGCCGTTCGCGGAAAAGAAAAACGCTGCAAGATCAGCCAATGCAATGTGCAGAACCACTAGTGCCCAACGAGGAAAATGACTATGAAAGTGAGTGTCGACTGTTACAATATTAGACATTAGCAATTATGAGACATTACCAATGTCATTACAATGAAACATTATTAGACAATTACAATTAGCAGGAATCAGCCTTGCTGATTTTTTTCTCTTTGACAGAGAATTGAAATATTTAATTTACCCAAATTAATTGTGAACACTTGTTTTTGTCTCTCTCAGATGTTGACTGCTCAGGGGACTATGTTGTTGTTCTGCCGGACTGATTTAGTCACAATGTGACGCTCTGACCGGATAACTGGATCAGCTAATATGAACGATTTAGATGTGCTATTACAGTTTGCACATCTAAAAAATACAGTTGCAAAATATAAACTCAGAATTCCGGGTTTATATCTCATAGTTCTCAGAGTCTAAACCTCACAATTCTGAGTTTATATCATGCAGTTCTGAAGAAATGAGAATTGTGACAAAAAGGTCAGAATTGTGAGATAAGAAATGCAAGGAAAAATGTCAAAACTGTGACAAAGTCACAATTACCTTTAAATTTTTTTATTCTGTGGCATAAATAGGCTTTCATAGGATTTTGGTGTCATTTGTTACAAGTTATAGTATCCTCATAACCATTTGAGTGAAAAGTTAATTTGAAAAATTAACATAGTTTTCAGAATGTCTTGGTATTTGGGATTGCTTTAATGACAAATGATTTAATGTACAGAGGAGTTCACATGGTCAATGTCACATGTTTGATTTAGTGTCCTAAAAATAGTGCAAAATATTAAATATTGTTTATTTTACAACATTCTAGAAATTCTAAAACTTGGTTTTAGATTTTGAATGTGGTCTCAGACTTTTAAAGTCATTGTTTGTCATTGGCCAATAAAGTGTTGGTTGGAATTGTAATACTAATCTGGATGAGAGAGAAATATTAGGTTTGTATTTTGTGCTTGATGACCTGCTCATAACTCAAGGACAAGAAGAGATTTTTTTTATTGTATATGTTTGTTGTTGTTGTTGTTGTTGTTAGAGAATGTGTAGGCCTATCTGTATATAGTATGTACAGTTTATAAATATAATCAAATTTTATCTCGAACAGAGTCTATAATAATGTATGCCATATGAATGGACTGTCTTTAGGTTTTAACATGTAAATATATATATACATTTATGTACCATTTTCTTTACCACAACTTAAAATAGATTGGCCCACATTGGACAGTCAAACTGTTTCCGTTACACTGTTCTATGTGGTCAAAGAGAGCAAATGATGTAGCTTGATGTTACTATCTGATTTTAAATTTGGTTGGCATCTTTAATAAATAAATTACATTAAAAAAATGAGTCATTGTGTATGAAGTTTACAATGAACTGGCAAATGTCTTGCCAGAGTTTTCTTGTATGAACACAACCCCAAAAATGCAAGACAGTTTCTGGTTGTGAATCACAGAAAGTACAGTTCACATTTATGCTTAATTTAAATTTTGACACAATAAAGGTTTTAACTGGATAGTATTGATGAATAAAATTAAAAGAAATCTCTTTAATTGAAAAGAGTACACATACCCCAACTATGACGTACTTACGTCAGGGCGTCGTCGAATTCTGGCTCTCAACCATTCTTCACAGAAAGGGGGTTAAAGCTTTTCTTAAGAACATTAAAAAAGAGAGAGATTAACATAAAACAAACAGAAAATCCACTGATTCAATAATTAAGAGTTGTGGTGAATCGTAAAAATGTTTTGTCCTATATTTTATATTTAAATATTTAGATATATTCCTAAATGTTTCCATTATCCCCCTCCCCTTTTGGATAATGAACTCTTCCGGCGATTCGAAGTGTTAGCGGGAGGAAGTTGCTGTTGTAGCGAACAGTGGAGAATTTAATATAAGCTTTTGAGTAAATGCTACTTTAAATAACATACTAGTAAATATCATTGTTAAAACAGAAGTCACCTCCATGCTTGATGAAAACATTGTACGGGAGAGAATACGATATATCTGTTATTTAATCTCAGTAACAGCGTCTATTATCAACTAGCATAGCCTACTGAATGTTTACAAAACCTACCGCGAAACTGTTCAGATAGTTTCCTCATATCAGTTAAAATTTTTAGTTCAAGTCAGCCATTGACCGACCTTGGGTGTAAAGATGGATGTATCGACCTGTTTGAAGTCTCTACTGTTGGCCATTCGTCAGTACAGAAATAACAGAAGCGCATTAAATGCATCACAGCTGCAGAAACACATTGAAGTGAGTGAAAACATTTATCTGTGGGGTTATTGAAAACACTCAGTTTTATTTGTGTGATCTATCCAATCATTTAGTCACCTTCAAGTTGTGCCAAAGTCCAAAAAGTCTTTTAATTCTTATGTGAAACATAAGGGAATGACAGTTCATACAATGAAAGTGAATGGTGACTGAGGCTGTCATTCATCTCCTTTAATGTTTAGGAAGAAAAAAGGGTATTTCTTAAATATTCAACATCATTTTTCTAGTTATATTCTAAAAAAATAGTTTTTTAATCTTTTGGGTGCCACAAACCCCCAAAGGACTGAAGGACCTTCATACTAAAATTAAAAAGCAGCTATATATTATTTTATGTATAAAGACCCCAAATTAATATTATAAATATGCTTTTCTATAAATTGTGAATGATGCAATCTCTTTTCTGTAATAATAGATGACTGGAAAAGACAGAAACTGGGTCATTAAACAGTCAAACTCATTGTGGTCAAAAGAATGTGTAATTTTACATGTCATTTCCTTTAATCAGGGTTCCCACGCTTCTTGAAAGTACTTGAATTTCAGACATATGGATTCAAGGCCTGGAAAGTACTTGAAAACAAACATAGGTCCTTGAAAGTGCTTGAATGAAATTAGAAATACATTTTGTTTATGGCGCTATTTCAAAAATTGTCCTATATGTTCTGTCAGACAGAACGAAACAGCACTAATGATTGGGGTGGAGATGGGGTAGCGCGGAAAAAAAAACAAAAAAACATGTGTTTGTTGATGCGCAGCCTAGAGCCCTGAGCGGGACAGTTTTCTTAAGCCCGCTCCCGCTGAATTTCTGACCATTACCGCCTGCTCCCGCAAACAATCTAATATTGTGTATTAGAGGGATTAAAGGGGTCATATGATGCGATTTCAAGTTTTCCTTTCTCTTTGTATTTATTTTGAAAGATGATGCTCGTGATCATGGTAAGGGGGGTTACATTTCCGACGAGTGCTTGCGGTGTTCGGCCGATCATAATGCACTGGGTCAGCTGGCCAATCAGAGCAGACTGCGCTTGTCAGAAGGAGGGGGCTTTGTAGAAAACGAAGCGTTTGAGAGAGGCGGGGCATAGAGGACCTACAATAATGTACATTATTTGAAAAATAATGTGTTTTTTGAACATTAAAGCATGTCAACATATTCTGTTACACCAAATACACAAAATAATGATCTTTAAAAAAGCATCATATGACCCCTTTAAAGTTTTCCGTCGCTACGACGGATTTTTCGTCAATTGGAAAAAATGAGGGGGAAAGAAACATGTAGCGCATTGTTGTTGTTCTGCCGACACACCAAAAATCACCCCGCCACGGCTGCAGCTTTTTGGTGACAACATAATATCGCATCATTCAAAGTCGGGTTACTAGCAGAGAACACAGAGCAGGACTTGAATTTTGGTGCTGGATTGCGGCTATTAATAATAATTCTACTCATTCCCACAGGTTCCGTGCTTAAAACGCGATGACAGATGATGGAACGTATCATTTGCATGTACTTTTGAGTCTTGAGAACTCACTCATTTTCTGTGCGCCCACAGATCGCGATAAGGAGAGTGACAGCTTTTAATAAAAGGAGTTTGTAAATGGGATGTTGATTTAATACAACAGTTCAATAAACAAGTATTGCCTGATTTTGCTCCATTTCATCAACAAAAATTGTTCCAAATAAAGTAACAGCTCAGCCGCTGCGCATCTCTCTAAGCAAACACAGCGGGTGTTTCATTCATGAATGAAAGTACATTTTTGAACGAATCTAGTGAGTCAGTGATTCATGATTACCCATTCATAAAGACTTCATTCCTGAATGAATCTGCCATTCAAACTAATCAATTAATGAATGATTCAGTGATAAAAATCAGTGACTTGCCGCCACCTGCTGGCGGTTTCAGTAAAATGTTTAGGTAGCCTATAATTTCAGTTATTTAAATCATTTAATATTTCTGTTATATTTAAAACATTAATCTCAACATGAATTTATTAATTTAATTGCACTCATGCCACCTCTGAGCCTCATTAAACGTCTGAAAATGTACCTACAAGCCACTTTTGTATTCTTCTGTGCACCCTCTTTAGTACAAATACATTTTTTATTAATACTAATTCCATATGATTGGTAACTTATTTGTCTTATTCTACTTCTTATTATATATAAAAATGTAAAAAGCTTATAAACATAAATTTTTTAATTTGACAGATGAAAATTATACCATTGCAAAGGTAAAAAAAAAAAACCGCCCCTGTAAATCACTTTAAGGAGTCAAATATCACCTCATATTAGGAAGGCTAATTTTTTATCAGAATGTTTGATTATTGATCAGAAGGTGCTCCTAATTTTTTTTAAATTAGGAGGACAAGCACTCCTAAAAAAAAGTAAGCATAGAGCCATGTGTATCAGTATATTAGATCCTGCATGAGGTCTTAAAGAGACAGCAGCCTAAATAAACCTGCTGCTGTCTTTCTTTATACAGTGAAGACTATCCAGTGTTATTTTACAGTTGAATAGATTATAGTTAGACCTAACTGAAAACATTTATTGTTATTGTTTTTGTTTGTGCTATTGATTGTCATTAATGTACAGTATTTGTTCTTATTTTCTTATTTACTATTTACTTGTCTTTTTTAGTTAAAATAAATTCTGAGTGCATGTTATTCTTGGGTGGGGAGGGGGCGTGAGAAATAGTCCTGCCACCACAGCTGGAAAAAAAAATCCTAAGAAACACTGCATGCATTTAATAAAATTAAGAAAAATGCATTTACAAAGGTAAAAAGAAAATGCCCCTGAAATCACTTTGTACAGTATTTGTTCTTATTTTCTTATTTACTATTTACTTGTCTTTTTTCGTTAAAATAAATTCTGAGTGCATGTTATTCTTGGGTGGGGAGGGGGCGTGAGAAATAGTCCTGCCACCACAGCTGGAAAAAAAAATCCTAGGAAACACTGCATGCATTTAATAAAATTAAGAAAAATGCATTTACAAAGGTAAAAAGAAAATGCCCCTGAAATCACTTTGAGTCAAATGTTTCATTTAATTTATTATTGATTAGAAGGTGCTCCTAATTTTTTTTAAATTAGGAGGACAAGCGCTCCTAATTACAAGAAGAAAAACACTGCTCTTAAACTGGGTGTGTGACGGGTATGGTTATGGAACGGGGTTTGGCAGAGGAAATAATTTCAGTCAAATTTTTTTTTTTACTTTAACCCCATAATTTTCGCACATCAGGGAGCCGCTATCAATATGCGGGGTATGAAATCGCATTTGAATGAGCGCTCGCTGTTCACTTTCACCTTCGATTTTGTGACCGCGTGCATAATTATTAGGCATGTTGATATTCTGATCATATTTTTTTCAAGCACATTTGACCAATTCCAAACCACATCAATCTTAATAACTTCTGTTATTTTTGTATTTAAACATTTAGAAGTGATATATATTTGTCCATGAAGGCTGGAAATGAAAAACTCCTTAAGGTGTGCAGAATTATTAGGCAGGTTTTCTACGGATGAAATGAGCCAAAAAAGAGATTTAACTCAGACTGAGAAGTCAAAAATAATTAAATCCCCATGAGAAATATTAAAAACTAATGCAATATAGAAAGTTAAGGCATGACCGTTGGACAGCAAAATGCTCATTGGGTCAGCGGGGTCAGAAAAAAAAAGGTGAAGAAAAGACGCATGTTAACTGCAAAAGAATTAAGAATTAAGTAATGTGAATAATCAAGTGTGAAACCATCAGGAACCTTTTAGTCTCCAGTGACACCATTTTCCAGAACTGCAACTCCAGAATTACAAGGTGACAGGTTTGTCAGAGACCTTGCTTGGGTAAAAATTACTTAATAAAAATAACATCCTGAAGTGTTGTGAAATACATGAAGACTATTTTTATAGGCTTTATGGACAGATAAGTTGAGAGTGACTCTTGAAGGACCAGCACCACATCCGCTTGTACCATTGTTTGAAGTATGGATCTTCCAGAATCTGACAGTAAGTTTTAGGAGCTAATTTTTGTCAGTCTCTGCAAGACGGACTTTTCAGGATAGGAGATGGACTAAAAATGCACTCCCAAAACTTACTGCAACATGGAGCTAAGGAGAAAATGTAGAACTTGAAAAATTGGAAAAACAGCTTAGTGAAAAGCGTTTACAGTTTTAAAGCAAATAGTCCTATTTTTTTATTTTGTGATTTGACAGATTTGCGCATGTACAAGGTTTAAAATGTTCATGAAATATTTTCAAAAAATATTGATATTTGAGCAGCTGCGTGTTTGATCAGCTGCATTCCTCTAGGTCAAAGATGAAAAAATGGGATTTACAATAAAAAGACATTTACAAAATTATTGTTATAATTTTGTTAATTTATTAATGAGTAATGTCTCTTTTGAGTGAATGTGCAATTTTTTTTATGTTAACAGGTTTTTACCATGTTATTACAACATTTAACCACTTTTTATTCATTAAAAAATTTAGAAATTCTTTCAAATTTAAATCTTGTACAAGAACTACAGCAAAAACCAGTTTGATGCATATTTTATCAATATTTTAGAAATTGTATTTGAATATCACCAGTACTGACTTCAATGGATTTCATTAAATTCCTTTGAACACAACTGCTCAAAACGGTCTTAATTTATGAAACCTACACATTCAAAACATTATTACTCTGAAATGTTTAATGTAAATGTTAAGTGTAAGTGAACTGTTAAGTAATGTAAGGTCTTTCATGGCAGTTCATATTCTGGGGTGTGAATTTGATTAGGTGCTTGATATAGAATAAATGGTGCTTTAAAAAGTCCTTGAATCTGGTGATCATGAAAGAGTGGGAACCCTGGGTCATGTTCTGACTGCATAGTCAAAACAAGCTAAGAACTGTTTATGAATTAGTTTATTGCTTTTTACAAATTGGTTATTTTAGTAGCATGATAAAATGTTATTCAAACTGGGATAAATGTGTTATCACACAGGAACAAATGTGTAATGGATGCCTTTCAAATGCAAACTGGGTAAAGTTTTTTTTTTTCTCCTTATAATATCAATATTTTAGAAATTGTATTTGAATATCACCAGTACTGACTTCAATGGATTTCATTAAATTCCTTTGAACACAACTGCTCAAAACGGTCTTAATTTATGAAACCTACACATTCAAAACATTATTACTCTGAAATGTTTAATGTAAATGTTAAGTGTAAGTGAACTGTTAAGTAATGTAAGGTCTTTCATTACACTACATATGCTGGGGTGTGAATTTGATAGGTGCTTGATATAAAATAAATGGTGCTTTAAAAAGTCATTGAAAGTCCTTGAATCTGGTGTTCATGAAAGAGTGGGAGCCCTGTTTAATATAAAATATCCAACATTTTAATTGCTATTTTTAATTCCACAGGATGTTTCAGGGCTGAAATGTGGCGGAGTGCTGTTTTCAGGTCAGGTGCTGCCCAGCGAGTGTCTGAGTGGACTCATGGAAGTAGCTGGAGATCCCAACACCAGTCACGCACTGACGGGATCCATTATATCCCTGCTGGCACAGTTCGGTACTAAACCCTTTAATGTAGTAGTTCCACAGTCAGTTTATAGTCATATCACCCGTTATTTACCCATGCATGTACATTTCTTAATGGCCCAGCAGCTTCTGATGGTGAGGCTAAAGAAGCTCTTCACAGCAGCTACAACTTCACTGGCACTCTGGCATCCATAATCCACTGCAACAGAAGCACACCAGAAGAGCCTCTTGTGCTGCAGGTGAGAGTACTGCAGTTTTTTAAGATGAAGTCTACACTCTACACTTCACAAAGCATGCTTTTTTTGAAGTGCATATTTTTATAACTGGTCAAGAAATGTTTATATGATGATGTGACTTACAAACTTTAAAGTAATTAGCTTTTTATTTTAATATATTTTCAAATGTAATTTATTCCTGTGATGGCAAAGCTGAATTTTTAGCATCATTACTCCAGTCTTCACTCTCACATCACATGACCCTTCAGAAATCATTCTAATATTCTGATTTGGTGCTTAAGAAGTTAATCTTTTATTGGTTTTGAAAACAATAGTGCTGCTTATTATCTTTGCAGAAACCGTGAATAGAAAGTAAGAACAGCATTTATTTAAAATAGAAATCTTTTGTAACAATGTAAATGCCATTACTGTCCCTTTTTGATCCGTTTAATAAGTCCTTGCTGAATAAAATTAGTAATTTCTTGTAAAATGTATATAAAACTTTTTTTCTGACCCCAAACTTTTGAATGGTAGTATATGAATCACTTTATTAAAGTCCGCATGAAGTCAAAATGTACTCTATTTACTTTGTTAGCGCATGTTGCTAGTCTTGAGGCAAACAGTTAATCCGTGCAAGTTAATCCACTGAAAAAAAAAATAATGTAATCACAAATTTTAAATCAAAATCTGAAAATTTGCTTCGTTAGTTTGACGGCTTTTATCCTTAACCACTCCCCTCCAACTGTTAGTTTGCTGTGAACGAGCAATGTCAGGGAGGTGCGCTAAAATAAAATTCTGCCCACTATTAAATATTTAGTTTTAGTTGGAAATACATCACTATACTAATGTCAAGTCGGTAGCAACTTCCGGTTCACACAGAATTTAAATGTCACAGATAGGTGGTTTTATTTCACTACGTTTAGTTAAAGTTATCCAAAATGGATGGATTAAAAAATAAAGATTACTTTGGATATTACTTTATGTGGTCATGTGAATAATGTCTCCAATGCTCTCCACAGTGCCTTAATGTGCTGCAGCGACTGACCTACAGTGTGAGGACTCAGCATTGTGCCTCTCACATCCATGAACTCATCAGCTTCCTAATGCAACATGTGTAAGACCCACGACATTCTCTGCTTTATGCATAGATGTTTGTTTGTTGTGCAGTACCGTTCAAAAGTTTCAGAAAATTTCAGAAATATATCAAAACTTTCACTTTCAAAAAACTTTTATTTGCATCATGGAAAGTGTACAGAGTTTTATTTTTCTTGCCACAGTGTATACAATATAATAAATACTAAAACTGTTCATGTCTTAGGTATGTAATAATCATCATTAAGGGGCGTAAATACAATCATGATATTGACAAGTGGTCATGCTAGAGGTTGTGTAGTGGAAAACCACAACACTGAACTGAAACAGTTTTTGCTTTTAATCACAGAGGCTGGGTTTATAGCAGCACCCTTTATAAGGTGCAATATGCATTAAACTATTGCACAGCAATGGTTGTGCATGCAAAAGTTAACAGAATTGTGAATTTGATGCAAGTATACTAATAAGAACATAGTTTTTATTTATTTATAATTAAAAACTATGCATAAAATATAATGCTTTTTATGATTGTCTTTAGCCAGTCAAGTAATGATGACATTGTAAAGGCCTGCTTGGGCCTGATGGCCAACCTCTGTCGACATGACATCTCTGTGCAGTCACACATCAAATCTCAGGTCAGAACTGGCATCATGATGAACTCTCAGTATGAACTCTTAGAAGTTTTGTTAGAAGTTTTGTTAGTGAACTAACCTGCTGATGACTATTATACCTACTCTTTTTTTTTCAGAGTAATGTGAAGGCTTTCTACAGAGCCTTGATTAATTTCCTGGGTCACAATTGTCTGACTGTGGTCGTGTTTGCTCTGTCCATATTATCAAGTTTGACTCTAAATGAAGAAGTTGGGCAGAAGGTAGGGTTGAGATGTAGCGCTGATGTTGGTTAGCTCGCGTAGTTTCATCATTTTGTCTTGTGGCTGGAAACTTGTGGCCCTGTACTTATTTTCCATTTGAGGTTGTGTTTTTTTCTTTTGCAGCTGTTTAATGCAAAGAACATTCATCAGACCTTTCAAGGGATATACCAACATTACAAATCTGGACATACTTTAAATTGTTTTATGTCTTATTTTGTTATCTTTTTTTGTAGCCCATACCTAATATATGATGTTAGATATAAAAAATACATGGATAATAAAATTCTATTATGTCTAAATAAACAGTAACAACACTAAAATTAAAACCAGTAATTTAAAGGCATTACAACATTATAATGTACAGTAAGAAAATGGATATACGTTTTGGAATTTCTTAAAGATTACATTTAAAAGTATTACTGATTTTTTTTTATTTTTTATAATTTGTAATTAAATTATTTTATTGGTGTTTTTAAAGATTAACAAAATGAGAATTTGATGTCTTCAAATGTAATTGTTTTCTCAGGTCCATTAAATAATATTACCTGATACAACTTTTGATTTTAATAATAGATTAGTAAATATTGAAATTTATTTTATATATTGAAAAAAGTATTTTTTTTGTTAATTCAGGTTAACTAATGAGTTAACAATTGGAGCCTTATTGTAGCGTTACCATTTTTCTATTACTATAATTTTTTTTCTGTAATAAATTAGGAATCCATGCCAGATGCAAATATTTGGTTCGTGTCATGTTAGTGACATTCTGCCCTATTAATCTGTAAGTTTGTGCTTGTGTTCACCCAGGAGGCGATCGATTCCTCTCTGTGCAGCTCAGCTCAGTCATTTTTAGAGCTCCTCCTGCAGGAGGTGTTGGTTTTGCTTCAGTCTCCAGACTCCACTGAAGGAGAGCATCTGCTAAAGATCTTTTTTTGTAGCCCATACCTAATATATGATGTTAGATATAAAAAATACATGGATAATAAAATTCTATTATGTCTAAATAAACAGTAACAACACTAAAATTAAAACCAGTAATTTAAAGGCATTACAACATTATAATGTACAGTAAGAAAATGGATATACATTTTGGAATTTCTTAAAGATTACATTTAAAAGTATTACTGATTTTTTTTAATTTTTATAATTTGTAATTAAATTATTTTATTGGTGTTTTTAAAGATTAACAAAATGAGAATTTGATGTCTTCAAATGTAATTGTTTTCTCAGGTCCATTAAATAATATTACCTTATACAACTTTTGATTTTAATAATAGATTAGTAAATATTGAAATTTATTTTATATATTGAAAAAAGTATTTTTTTTGTTAATTCAGGTTAACTAATGAGTTAACAATTGGAGCCTTATTGTAGCGTTACCATTTTTCTATTACTATAATTTTTTTTCTGTAAAAAATTAGGAATCCATGCCAGATGCTAATATTTGGTTCGTGTCATGTTAGTGACATTCTGCCCTATTAATCTGTAAGTTTGTGCTTGTGTTCACCCAGGAGGCGATCGATTCCTCTCTGTGCAGCTCAGCTCAGTCATTTTTAGAGCTCCTCCTGCAGGAGGTGTTGGTTTTGCTTCAGTCTCCAGACTCCACTGAAGGAGAGCAGCTGCTAAAGAAACACTGTCTACGTGCAGGCCGTGTCGTTGACTTTCTGCTAGATATCCTTATTAGGCACAAATAATCACACTTCAACACACCTCACAGGACAAGCTTTCTGTTTGATGGGCTAGTGTTAGTAGCCAATCGGTATAAGCAAATATCAGATAATTAATTAGCCTGGCTTATGAATTGACCAGTAATGTATTGTGATTGTCTGATTCTACTGTAATAGTATAGATATCCTTGACTCTTTTACTGCTTTGCGGCGATGATGCTCTAAGGTTGTTGGTGTCCCAGCGGCTCAGTCCTGAAGTGTGTGTCTCACAGGTGGAGCTTCTGCTGTCCTACAGTCAGGACCTCTCTGGGTCCACCTATACTACCTCCAACTGCCAGCTCAGGTAATGAAACCTTTTGGAAGTAATATTGTTTGTGAGAAAGTATTGACACTTACAGTACCATTCAATCAAAATACAGTTCAACAATAATATTGTGAAATAGTATTACAATTAAAAATAACTTTTCTATTTTAAAATCTAATTTATTAATGTGATGGCAAAGCTTTCACACAATCCTTGAGAAATTGTCCTTCCAAAAAAAAAAAAAAGTTGTCTCCTTGTGCATCTCTAGTCAGGTGTGCTCTAAAGTGATACTGAAGACTCTAGAACTGATGAGCCACCTTAGACAGCAGATGCCAGACATGGAGACGTCCTTCTACAGGATCTTACAGGTACAAGACGTACGCTGCGCTTCCTCGCTGCCCTTTCTGTTAACTCTGTATCAGATATTTATAACCTTCCCTTGACATGACCTCTTTTCCATTGCATGCAGGACCAGCGCATGGTGACACCTCTCTCATTAGCTATGACCTCGAACTGCAGAGAGCATGTGCAGGTCGCCCTAAGCATACTTTTTGAAGCGGCCCCACTCCCCGACTTCCCCTCTGTCATGTGAGTCAACAGAACACACAGCCACAGTGTGAACGTTTACTCTGAGGTTTCAAAACTTTCAGTATGACAGTGCAGGCAGTTGTATATGAAGTACAAAATATTGTGACTATCAGCTTAATGACTGAGTGAAATTATATAAAAATAAGATATCAATTTGAAATTGTTTTCATTTTAATTTGTGGTGCTTACTAAAGCATTACTGTTGCTCATACTTAAACTGGTAATCTGAAATATTAAACTTTTATGCGTAACTAAGCATTTTAAATCATGATTTGAAATTATAAAATAAAAGAACAGCAAGCAAGTCCTCCTTAAATGTAGAAGTGTTGGTTAACTACCAAACTGTACACTACTGTTCAAAAGCGTGGGGTTGGCAAGATTATTTTAAAAGTTTTGAAAGTGTTTCACCAAGGCTGCATTTATTTGATCAAAAATACAGTAATATTGTGAAATATTATTATATAGTATTAAATATTATTGTTGTATAATTGGGTTTTTTATTTTTATTTTAATGTTTTAAAAAGTAATATGTTCCTGTCATGGCAAAGCTGAATTTTCATCACCATTACTCCAGTCTTCAGTGTCATATGATCCTTCAGAAATCATTCTAATATGCTGATTTGCTACTCAAGAAAAGATTCTTAGTATTATCAATGTTGAAAACAGTTGTGCTGCTTAATATTTTTTGTAGAAACTTTGATGTGTTTATAAATAGAAAGTTCAAAAGAACAGCATTTATTTGAAATATAAACCTTTTGTAACATTATTAATGTCTTTACTGTCACTTTTGATCAATTTAATGCACCCTTGCTAAACCCCAATATTAGTGCCTATATTTATTTAGAAATGAATATTGGCATTAAATCCTGGAAAGTCTCTGTCACTTTTGTTTTAAGTCTGGGGGACAGTATTGCTGCCAATAATGCATACCGTCAGAAGGATAGTGAGTTGTCGATCCGGAGCAGTCCTGCTAGCGAAGATGTGCCTTTTGTGGGGAAGAGTTTTCCCATGATGCATGCCGAACCTTCTGGTTCTGCTTGCCAAAGTATCGACAGCCTCATCGAGAAGCTTCAGAACGGAGTGGAGGTATTGTGTTTGTCTGAATCTGACTCATTAGTTCTGTGACCTCAGTGTCTGCAGAAATTCCGTCGTGGGTTTGGTTGCATGTAGTTCCGTACTGACAATAGAAACGTGCACACAAGTGGATGGCATGCTTGCTTTTTTTGTTTTATTTCTAATGTTGTAGTGTCTCAGTTACAGGAGAAGGTCAAAGATGTACACATGTCAGAGATCATTGATGTGTATGAACAGAAGCTTTCAGCACTAGCGGTGAGTGACCAAGTTAGGAAGGAACTTCCTGTTTGTATATGTAACATATGCTGACTTTGTATTTATATGTGCTTTTGTATATGTAGTGTAAAGAGAGCCGTCTGCAGGACCTTTTGGAGGCCAAAGCACTTGCGCTGTCACAGGCGGATCGACTGATTGCTCAATACCGCTGTCAGAGAGCTCAGGCGGAAGCTGAGGTTACACACAAATTTTTTTTCTTTTTTCTTTCGACAAAGCTTTTATGCATATGGGTTTTTTGAGTTGCTATATATCTTATATCTTATGTATCTATCTTATGCTCACCAAAACTGCGTTTTTGCTAAAAAAAAAAAATTCAGTAAAATGGTAATACTGTGAATCAATATTTCCATTTAAAGGAACTTTAATATAATTTATTCCTGTGAATTTTCAGCATCATTACTCCAGTCTTCAATGTCACATGATCCTTCAGAAATCGTTCTGCTGATTTGCTGGTCAAGAAACATTTCTTAGTCTTATCAATGTTGAAAACCGTTTTTGGTGCTTGATATTTTCACTATGATAGAGTTACATTTTAATGTGCATATGAGCACATTTTTTATTTGTAAAACTGTTTAATCTTGTTATTGCTGTTTTCAATCTTTCTCCTTTCTAGGCACGTAAATTGGCATCTCTACTCAAAGACACGGAGCGGAAGAAAGAGGATCTGCAGACAGAGTTGAATGATCATCTGTTGGAGGTCGAGAGACTGAAATCTGACAGCCAGCAGCTCCTGGAGCACAACGGCCGTCTGCAGGAAGTCGCTGACCAGCACCAGGAGCTGAAGGGCACCTACAACCAGCTGCTCACTAGGTCAGTGTTCCTCTCTCACACACACTTAGATACAACTTCCATGAATGGATCCGTCAAATGTTTTGTTAAAGATAAGCAAACTCAGCAAAGCAAAAGCAAACTTTTCTCACTTTTGTAAAAAAAAAATTTTAGGTACGACAAAAGTGAAGGGATGCTGAAGGAACTGCAGGCTGCCCATATCTCACTCACCCAGCAGGCCGAGGGGCTGAGAAAGACCAATGAGGGATTAAAACTCCAACAGGAGAGGTCGGTGTTTGAAATGATGGATTGAATGTCAGGCATTTTTGACTATAATATTAATAACTCTATATTAATATTAACTCTAATATTAATAATAATATTTTTATGCTTCATGCCATTCTTGCTTATAATAATATTATTATATATTTTTTCATTATTATTATTATTATTTTTATTATCTACAATTATTATATTATTATTTATTGGAGCTAGGTTAAGCTTCATGCAACCCTCCAAAAAAAAAGTAAAAACAAACATTTGATTTTTAAATTATTTTTTTTTTAATAAGTTGAGCTGTGCTTCATGTCACCCGTGAATGGGTCTATAATAATAATAATAATAATAATAATAATAATTATTATTATTATTATTAAAAATTATTGAATGACCTTCAGTCCTTTGACTTTTATCTGCTCAGGACTCTTGCAGAGATGGCAGAACAAGAACAGCAGATAAAGGTCCTAAAGACAGACGTGCTGGAGAAAGAGAGAACAATAACAGGTGAGAAAAAGCAGTGGAATTAATTTGCTGCATTGGTTTGATGTTTTTCTGCGTTTTCAGTCATACACACTTATGCATTTGGTGTAAAGTGTACTATAAAGTTTCTTTCTGTTCTATACCAGGTTTTCAGAATGATCTGAGGAGACAAGAAGAGCAGATCCATGAGATGGAGGAGAATATTTCCGTCCTCAGGAAAGAGCTGAATAAGACAGAGCAAGCCAGGAAGGACACCAGCATCAAGGTGCCGTCAACATTCACTCAAACCAGTCATCAGTCAGTCTCAAATCATAGTGTGCTATAGTTAAACAGTCATAATTCAGCTTTACCTATTTTTTACCTGCTATATAAGCGTTCAGGTAGGCTGCATAATGATTCAGTGTGTTTTCTGTTATTGTACTCCTCTTGTAGGCTTCCTCTCTGGAGCTGCAGAAATCCCAGCTAGAGACCAAGCTGGAGAAGATGGAGGAAGAGCTGAGCAAACACACACAAATGATTGCCATGATACACAGTCTCAGCAGCGGCAAACTCAAGGACATCACTGCCAACCTCTCTCTGTGACATGTACATATTCATGTATACGCCATCAAGCCATGAAATACTTCACTTGCTTCATGAAATAAGAAAAACTTATTTTATCTGTATGTTTGGTCACTTTTTGTCTGTACACTTTGTATGTTTTCTTTAACATTTTCATGAGTGAATGAATAAATGTCTAAGTAATGCATATGTCTATTAAATTTAATTTATCTGCTTTCATTTTGGATGACATTCATTATTGAAATTATTCAGATATTGAAGTAATGTGTAGATTTTTGAATGTCAGTCTTTGGCCACCAGAGGGTACTGTACAAACTGTTTAAAGATTGTGACGAACTATTTAAATATTTTTTTCAATAAATAAGACTACTTGTCTACTCTCCCTAAGAGAAAATGTTCAGTGATCATTCCTTCAGTTTCACAATGATAACAATGTTTCACAGCTGAAAGTGTGTGTGCTTTATTAGGGCCATTCATGTAGAAGGTATGACTTCCTTGTTAAAATAAAATCTTCCTTTAAGCCTGTAAAAATCAGTTTAAATCATAGTTTCTGTTTATTTAATGTGTTTTTTTAGAACAACATAATATGCACATAAACAAGAACAAGAGAGTGAGACCTATAGAAAACGAATTCAATCAGGCTTGAACAAGAAGCCATGATAGTGTTTTTTTTTGTTTTTAGGAGGTGTGTGAAGTTGACAATTTTACTCTTAACATTAGTTTCAGTATTTTAACCTGATTTGTCACATATTTTCATAGTTGTTTTGGCAAGTCGTCAGCCAATCAGATGGATGTGGCCCAGATGATCAGTCTGGACTGTAACTATGCATTAGACATCAACTCTTTGGGGATTTTCTGATATCTGAGTGTGAATTTATTTTAAAGGGGTCATATGACGTTGCTAAAAAGAACATTATTTTGTGTATTTGGTGTAATGAAATGTGTTTATGCGGTTTAAGGTTGAAAAAATACATTATTTTCCATATTCTGTACATTATTGTTTCTCCTCTATGCCCCGCCTTTCTGAAACGTGTCGATTTTTACAAAGCTCATCGGGCTGAAAAGCGAGGTGTGCTGTGATTGGCCAGCTATCCAGTGCGTTGTGATTGGCCGAATACTTCAAGCATGTGACGGAAATGTTACGCCCCTTGCCATATTGTGATGCCTTGTCCGGTCGGAGCGACGAGACAAAAACATTAAAACCCATTATAAACGAGGCATTTGTTGCTTCCAGTGGGGACATAATTACGGATTATAATGACTTATACTGTCTTTTTAAACATAAAACTATGTCTGCATTTGTGATCGGAGAAATGACAAACAACAAGCACTACTCTACACTGCTCAAAACTCGCGTTTGAATCATCAGTGGCAAATTCTTTAAATATAAAAAACGTACTTACAGGCTGTGAGTCAGAACAGCCGGCATTGTAGTCTACTCTTCTAGTCGTGTCCTCTTTTGGAAGACAGTATTTTCTCTTTCACAACGAAACACAGCGTCACACACGGCGGCCTTGAGTGAGCGGAGGCTGGCTTGAGTGAGCGACGGCTGGTGTGCGGGCTTGCGTCAACCACATGTGACGACCCCGGACTGGACTCAGCTTCGTCCAAGGTGAAAGCCGGTCCAGCGATCCACAGCGCGAAGTTGATGTATTTCCTCAGTGACCAGCACGGATCAGCTCCAGGCATGACAAAGCGGATATCATCCTCTTTTGGAAGGCCAAACAAAGTAGTTTCGCTTTCACAACGAAACACACAGAACACAAACACATAGCGCCTTCACGACATGGGGGCGGCGGCAACAGCAATACTACAGCGAGAATAAAAGTTAAGACTCCTTTCTTTGCGTGAACATTTGGGCGGCGTTACGCAAATCTTCCCACATCATGACGTAGAAATGTGGGGGCGTGTTAGAACGAGACGTTTTAGGTTAACTTTTATAAAGAATATCTCTTTGGATTTGAGACTTTAGTCTTTGCAACTTTATAGACCTTCTTTATGCACCAAGAGCTTGTAACACTCCAAAGAGAAAGGAAAAATTGAAATCGCATCATATGACCCCTTTAAAGAGACACCTGTTAATCTTTCTTCACCTGTCTGTTTGAACATTCTCTCAGTTTCTCACAAGTTGTCAGCGCAACAGTTTCAAGGGCAGCACTTTGTGATAAATCAGTAACCACAAACAGCAGACTGAAAAGCAATTTCTAATACATTTTCATAAATTATTTAAAGCTGTATTTTGAGTGAAAAGTGATCGCTTGATTCATGGTTTTGTTACAAAACAGTTCCGGAGACGTCTTAAAACATGCTAGACAGGCTGCACTAGTTAAATAACAACCAAAAGCTTTCGTATGATGAACAGTTCAAAAGATTGTGTTATTATCTTTGTTTTGTTGTTTTTTATAGCTAGAGGTGTGTCTCAGAGTAGTTTCGCTTTCACAACGAAACACACAGAACACAAACACATAGCGCCTTCACGACATGGGGGCGGCGGCAACAGCAATACTACAGCGAGAATAAAAGTTAAGACTCCTTTCTTTGCGTGAACATTTGGGCGGCGTTACGCAAATCTTCCCACATCATGACGTAGAAATGTGGGGGCGTGTTAGAACGAGACGTTTTAGGTTAACTTTTATAAAGAATATCTCTTTGGATTTGAGACTTTAGTCTTTGCAACTTTATAGACCTTCTTTATGCACCAAGAGCTTGTAACACTCCAAAGAGAAAGGAAAAATTGAAATCGCATCATATGACCCCTTTAAAGAGACACCTGTTAATCTTTCTTCACCTGTCTGTTTGAACATTCTCTCAGTTTCTCACAAGTTGTCAGCGCAACAGTTTCAAGGGCAGCACTTTGTGATAAATCAGTAACCACAAACAGCAGACTGAAAAGCAATTTCTAATACATTTTCATAAATTATTTAAAGCTGTATTTTGAGTGAAAAGTGATCGCTTGATTCATGGTTTTGTTACAAAACAGTTCCGGAGACGTCTTAAAACATGCTAGACAGGCTGCACTAGTTAAATAACAACCAAAAGCTTTCGTATGATGAACAGTTCAAAAGATTGTGTTATTATCTTTGTTTTGTTGTTTTTTATAGCTAGAGGTGTGTCTCAGTTTCAGGTTAAAGGTATGATTTCATTTATGTCTTGATTGAGTATATGTGACTCAGAGTTTCTCATATTTTGTTCTTTAGAATAATCCACCTAGTCCTGATATGGAACGAGACAGCTCATTTTAAACTGTATTTATTTACATCCTTCATAGAAAAGCTGATCTTCATTAAATTGAAGAATAGTAGATAGTAAACAAACAGCAATTCACAGGTTTGTAAAAGAACAGCAGAAAAACATGATTGCCCCTCATCAAACCCCTTGGTTAGTGTCTTCATTAAATGACAAGTGGATAGAGCTTAAAAAGCATAATCATTGTAGTGTTGGATAGTTGTGATTGCCACAGATTAGCACATTCTCAAAAAAACTAACAAACAAAAAACTTGATTGTTTACATATTTTCCGTACTCAGTCACAGTAACAACTGACTGTCAAGTCAACATTGCTTAGGGACGGTCTCTGCTGTTAAAAGTTTTGTTCTCTTAAGAAAGTGTTTTTTTTAGAACTTGTTTTCCTGATTACTGCGGAATCTGCTAAAACTGGTTTTCTGTAAGTCATGGCCCTGAGACAAAAGACGAATGACTGGAATCTGATCCATCCACTTCTGAAAGTGCTGAAGTATTGTAAAAATGATAAAGTTAGAAGAACAGGTCCTTCAGTATACAGAAAAGATTGTCTAAAACTGCAAAGCTTGAAAGTCTGAAACATGACTATGAGTTTAGAAGGACTCTTGAGTCTAGGCAGTGACTGCTTCAGTGATGTTCACTGAGATGTATCTTCAGACTGAAAACAAATCCAAAGCTTTAAAAAACTCAAATGTATTCCCCTGTGTGGCGTTTTGCACTCGCTTTCACATTCAAAAGTCTTCTTATTTATCTTCAGGCTTACATATCCTCATTTAATAAGTCCTGAATAATAAATATAAATACTAAAGATCAGGCACTGGATTTCCCTGTCAGTTTTTATCCATAATACGTTTCATTTAGAGTATGTAAGGCTTTGTTAATCCATCTCCGTATGACTGTGGACTTGAAGAGATGAGCCACGTTTGCTCTTTTCAATGGGCTTGGTTTCCATTCAACTTCTCCATCTCATGGCTAGAATCTGATGTTTCTGGTGAATTTCTAGCACTGGAAAATCTCTGTGTGAAAACACATGGCAGGTTAGTTTCAGATAAGCATACTGAGTCAAACACATACAGATTCAAATTTAAATGTGAGAAAGTGAGGAAGGCAGATTTATTCAAATAACATAAAAACTTTTGTCATAGTAATTGTCCTATCTTTTTGGACTCGAAGCTCTTTTGCATAATGTTTTTTGCTTAATTTAAAAGGAATAAATAAAGTAACGATGCAACAACAAAAGAACAAAATAAATGAACTTACCATTAGTAAAACAATTGCCACAATAAGACAAATGGCTACTATTATACTAACAGCAATTAATATGGAGGCTTCCACTCCCAAACCTGTATGGAAAGAAATGAGGATTAATTCTCTTTAAATGACGTCTCAAGTGTTACGACCATGTTCAACACATTTTATCTGCTTTAGTTATTTCTTTTGTGTCCATTTGATTGATTAGATAAAAAGAATTTGAATGATTCTAGATAGTAAAAATGTTGAAATGTTACCTCTTGATGGGAGTTTGGTTTGTGTAATGTATCTGTACTGGGCTGTAGTGCTTTCACATGTGTATGTTCCCAGTTGCTCTTTATTAAGATGAGAGAGTTTAATGGTTCCATTTTCTGGATGAAAGGTAACCTTGTCCCTCCACTGCTCGGAGATTTCTTTCATAGAGGTGTTGCTGTCATATTTCAGGATGGTGGTGGAAAAACTCAAGGTGAGAGAGTAGTTGAGGTCCTTAGTGACTGGACATTCGAAAGTGAACTCATTCTCGGAGAGTTCTGAAGCAGCTAAATAAAAAAATAAATAAAAAAACAATGAGAATGACCCGTCCCCTAATACCACTGTAGAGTAAACTAAAGGCCACTGGATATTTAAATAAAGGTACAAGCAGCCCTTTAATATGTAAGTCATCAGTGAATGGACAAGAGAGAGTTACATCATCTTCCATTGAGATATCTGAAACACTATATTTTTTACATTGTGATATTACTAGAAATGCTCTGTGGGCTCCAAGATGCTTTATACGTGACCAAAAACACAACAAAAAAATCTGTGAATTTACCTTGTTGTTTCAGACTAGCTGTATAGCGTGTATTTTTAGTAGTTATGGAGCAGTTGTATGTGTATGTATCACTGATGACATCCACTTTAAGTTGACTTGTCACTGTAAACAGGTCATCTTCTGTTCGGCTGACAGTGTTCTGTGG